ATATCTGAACCAATGAGTTGGTGGCACAGCGGTAGAATGCTCGCCAATCACGCATGTGGTTCCGGATTCCATCCCCGGCTGACGCACCCCTTTACCTCGCCAAACCAGTGATAAGACTGGTAAATAGGGAAGGCTTGGTGTTAGGCTAGCAACCCCATCCCGTATAAATGAACACCACTGCTACCAAAATTTCGAGCCTCTAGCTTGAAGCCCTATGTTCCACTGGGAACTTAAGGAATAAAACAAAATAATAAAAATTGTGGATAACATTAAGCTATGTCAGAAACGTTTTCTAACTACTTCGAGGAACTAAGTAAAGTAAAATACCCTATGTTACGTAACTGGAACAAATAGTTGTTTCCACATATTATTTTTTTAATCTAAACCTTTTTCTAATGACTCTACTTAGGACAAAAAGTGAAATTGCTAAATATGTTGCATCGGCTATAGTGGATTAATTGTGGATGAAATCTAAGTGAGGATAAAGAGGACTTCATGCCGTTGTGCTCTCTTAGCTGGAGGGTTTAACTGTGAAGCTTTCATTGTCTTTCAAGATAATATCTTCAATATGAATTAAGCTTTCGGAGTTTTTCATTGATGAAACATTCATAATTTCTGGTAATCTTGAGCGTTCTTGATTGTCTATGGAGATTTATGTAGGATTGTATCCATTTGTATTGTCACTGATTGTTCTACTGAGGCGATATTTGAAATTTTGACAGCGTGACTTATTTTCTATTGATTGATAAACCTCATCATTAACATGATAATTGAGAATCGATTTGAGTATCAAGTTTCTGAAAAAATTCCCTGATATTGTTTGTCCTTTCTTTCAAGATTCTCAAGTTTCCCCAGCTGAGCTGTGATGTTAATAATGGTCTCTGTAAATTGATATGAATCCACTTTTATATGTTTGTTTTCATTGAGGCAAAGGTGAAGAGGATGTCCGCTTTGGTCAAAATAGCTCATGCAGATCATAAAATCTATCTTGTAGATGATAATGTCTTAGCCTTCTTGCGGTCTTTGGAGCTACAATTAGTCAAGCAAAATCAGTCCTTTTGGGATCAAAATAGGTGCAAGTGGTGCTTTATAGTTTCAAAGGTTTTTCGTGAACGTATGAAGCCTGTGTTGAATGGCTATTAGGCCCATCTTACCTCAATAAGACTAGATGGTCGAAATAGAAACGTCTTGCAGTTGTGTTTTGGCCCAGATTTTTCGTCTACATAGGTACCAGTACATAATTTCAAAAGTAATTTACATTATTGTAATTTGTATGAAATACAGTTTCCTATTCCGGCACTAGCTGCAGTTTCTCCTTCATCTGCACAATCATAGTGTTCCCATTTTATTCCGCTCTCTTTATTGTTTGATGCACATGCTGCATTATTTCTACAGTCACGAAAATTAAATTATGTACAAATACCAGACATTTAAACCACTAGACACCTAGGAGAGACACAATATAATGTGTGTATTGTAAGTATTTTGCGGTTGGAATAAATACCGTGATGCGAACAGCTAAATAGTATTACGGCTTGTAGATAAAACTTGGCAAATTTTAAAGCAGAGTCTGCTAGAAATACTACACAAGAGGGATTGTTTAATCAGCTTACTGACACTGAATAATCTACTTCTGCTTATTTGTTCTAATTGATTATTCTTTCAAAGAGACATTGTGCCATATTTGTTAACACCATACTAAACTACCTGCTGACGGACACCACTCACAAACATAAGTAGACTAGTGCGGAAAGAAGACGGAATATTATTGCTTTCTAGGTTGTTTTTCATGAAGGTCAATACGTGCAAAGTGAGGTAGCTTAACAGCGATCTAAACAAATAGCCTATTTGACAAGGGTTGACAATGACAAGACAAACACGGTTATTGATGTACCACTAAGTCAAGCCTAAAATATCCCGTGCAGTCATTTTTGTTATATAATACAAAGAAACCTCACTGGTCAAGTAGAAATGTACTAATGTTTATATTTAGTGAGAGAAGTATATACCACCAGCATCGGTGGTTCAGTTTTAGAATACTCGCGGGCCGTTCACGTGGTCTGGGTTCGGTTCCTTACCGTTGGACTGATAAACATCACTTAGCCAATATTAATCCCTGTAAAGAGGGAATGTTGGGTATGAAGCTAACAACATCACCGTGTGATAAAGAAACAGCATCAATAATGAAAATCCAAATTTCAAGCTTGGAGTCCTATTTTCAACTGGAAACGCAAGAAAATGAAAAATTTACCAGCATATTAATGTATTAAGGTCCAGTGACGTCAGTATCGAAATCCAGTGATGACTGATATTTAAACTGTTTACAGCAAATACAGACAATTAACACCAATAGTGTGTGAGGTAATCTGGTAACTCGAACTTAAAATGAATATTATCAGGTGAATAAATCTACATCTCAACTCTGTTTTCAGATAGATTGAGCAATTACCTGTCAGCAGTAAGGCCAGAGAATACAGCATTTCTCGAACTCAGTATTTTATCTAGTCGTTCAGTCCTATTAGTTAACATTAGTATTCACTGCGCTACTATTACCACTTATACTGAATATGACCTGATAGACTTTGACATACTGTACGAACAGATTTATAGCCTGAGTTATTCACCGCTGAACAACTCAGATCACAACTGATTTCATTCGTGACTGATTGGTGCACATGAATCGGCGATGAAAACTATTAAATACTGTTGTTCAGTTAAAAAGGAATCGGCTCAACTCTGTGCAATGTGGCTCAATACTGTGGCACACTAAATTTCCTCACTTAGTCTGGGGATACAGTCAAAAATTTGACTGTAATCTATATAAAGTCTGCGTCCATCACCTCATAAACCAAAACACAACTCAACACAGTCGTAATTTTAACCTACAAAAGTGTATTAATTATCATATTTATAACAGCCAAATAATTGAAGACAATATCTGACTTAGTGACCTAATATTTGCTACTCATTAGTTAGATGTGGAAAATAATGTTACCATGACTAAAAAATAAAATAAAATCATTAAAATTTATCGTAAGATGAAGGATAATTTATTCACATTCTATAGAATTATTTTTAATATGGATTTTCATTGAATTTGATTTTGGTAAAGTAATAATAATGATCAGATGAAAGAGCAGTTCACTTGAAGATTTCAGGATAAACAGCTTAACTCTTTTGTACACATCGACTTGGCTTTCACATAAGTTTACGATTTCAAGAATAAAACGATGGAATGTGAATAATAGAACTGAGTCGTGTTGGCAAGTCAGCTGTATATTCACATAATTTAATGACATAATGTTTATTCTTTCGTTCATTACATGTATTTTCGCCATCTTATCTCAGTTTTTATGCTTAATGGTATGTACTTTAAGATTATTAGTGACAATGTCTTATAACTTAGAAAGCGACAGTCATAACCTGTATTGGGAATAGAATCGTAGAAAAAACCGAATTGCGTCTACTCTAGCTGTGATTCACCTGTAAGTTAGTCTATATCTGTATAACAATTTGTGATCTTATATGACACTAGTTATATGGTCTAGCAAAGCAGGTAGCATAGTTGAACCTCACACACTTAGTGTGATATCAATAGCCTGTTGCATATGCATCTTAATATATATAATTCTGTCAATGCAGTAAGTTTGTCCACTACAGTTACAAATCAACTATAACGTAATCTGTTGATGCTGTAAAGACCAAAATGGTTCGGATATTAAGAATATTAGCATTTCAAAATAATACCAAAGTGTGTGATATTAATCAAAAAGGATGTATTATAATCCATCTTTTGAATGCGAAAATTTCATACATGTGACAACTTCTTAAAATAGTTATCCGAAAAAAACACAGAAAGAAAGAAGATCTACATTACAGAGGAGTATTTGAGGTGCACACTAAAAATATTAACTGCGTAGCAAAAACTTAACTAAAGTAAACTGTAGAAATATTTACAGAAATATTCACAAAATATCATGTTTATTTTGATCTCGTCAGAAAAAAAAGTAAATCTTATTTTTATTGTTAATGGAAATTGGAATTTCTCATGGAACACTAAACTGTCTTTTAATGCTACATTTAAAAGAGATATCATGTAACCTTTACTGCCTGTTAGATAAATATCCGATATCTTCAATATCAACTTTCACTATGTCTCTTTTCGAATACATCAAACATCTCACAATATCTGTAAGGATATACACTCATGCAATAGACTTAAGAAGTGAAAGAGAAATCGGAGTTATCAAACAGGTCATATACTTTATGAAGGTTATAACATTAAAAGAAAACAGCTTTATGGACAAATAACTAAGTCATACACAGAAACTGAAAAATGTGTCTTAGCAGATACTGTGCAGTCGAGACCCACTGTCTAGAAATATAGGAGTTGAATGCAAAAAGTTACTGAAATCACATAAATAGATTTTTTAGGTAGAGGTATATTAGTGCATGCATGAGAGAATTAAACTATTTTGCCGTTTACAAGTTATAGCTCGAGTTCAATATATAAGGAAGTGTTTAACTTCCAATAACTGCATTTCATATAACCTAAAACCTTACAGAACAGTATCTCCATAACATGGATATATCATTCTCGCATTATTATATATGCATATATATATATATATATACTAGTAAACTAGTCGAGATTTTGCAGAACCTCAGACGTGGGTCGAACCCAGACTTTCCGTTTGGCTGTGGATTATTCCGTTAAATTTGAAGATGTCACGAGATAATCTTTATTCAAGATTGCGAATATGCTGCGTTTTTGTCTGACAGACCCATACTTCCTTTACTACAATTCTGACTTTACCGAAATTGTACGTAACAGCATATGTAACACGATAGCCTACCACTCTATTTATTACATAGTCAAAACATAGCATGACACTTTTTTCCTAGCTAAGCACTACGATTAATGAGCAGTTGATCTGGCTTAATGTTATACACAAAAATATTATATGTAACAGTAAACTAATAATAGCATAGAAACTTACCCTCATCTAAATCTCCTCTAGCTGCAGCTTCTAAAAATATTAAAGTCTGTGGGAATTTTACAGCACGACTAGAATTATAATGCCCTCTATCATTCAACGGAGATAATCCTTTCTTTTGTAACTTCTCCGATTCTTTCTGCATTTTCTTATCATAGATTTGCCATTCTTTCAACTGAATAGCACGTTCTTTGCGTGCATTCTTGATGCGTTTCATGTCAGGCACGCGTGCATTAGGCAGTTCAGTATCGTCTGAATGATTTATCAAATGTTCAACTGTTCCATTTGAATTATCCATTATTATCTTAACCAACTGCTTGATTTGGATTTTTGTAATTACTGCTCAAGTGAAGGAAAGCGACTTGTTAGTTAAGCAGATCTAAAATTAAAAGATAAGAGATATTGGCTGATTTAATTGTATGAAGTGGTTAACACTCAGTATTCGAGTAAAAGTAATGTAAACTCACAAAGACTAAAATATATTATGGATGTAATTACGTAGTTACCTCTGTCAAACAAAATAGTAGTATGATGATCTACTAGATGTTGGTCTGCATGACTGTGTTTACGTGTACTGTAATTGGCTTTGATTAATCAACTAAATGCATACCACTACCAATCTTGTTGCATTAAGTCAGCTAACTGACCTGTTAAATTTTTAATCAGTCACACATTGTTAATGACCATCATTTGTTTTGTTTGCGAGGAGGGCTAGGAAAGAGGAATAACTACAAGTCTCTTAAAGGTGATAAGTTGAGTTTTCTTTATAGAAAGTTTATCGTAAACAATTATCACTTTGTTTACTAGCTGTATTAAAGCATAAAACTGATGACAGAGTGTTTTCGAATGATTTGTTTTGATTGTAAAGAAAAATGAATTGCTCTCCAGGACGAAATTACCATTTTGGAAGCAAACAGAAATACCTACAGATATCTCTGGAGATACCGCAGTGATTTGAATACAAAACGGATAATTTACTTATCAGCAATGTGATCTAGAAAAATTATTCTATGAAGAATAAAAATTAGTTTGAAATTACTCATTTACGTTAACGGTTTCCCGTTGGTATTTCTGGACTGAATTTATCAGTTTCAATTCAGTATATGGGCTCCTTGAGCGGATACCTTGGTATTATCATGGTTAATAACTTCAGATGGCCTATTTACTGGTGGTTAGCAATGAAATCCTGTTCGAGACTCGTCACCTAGATGCTTCAACACGTCCTGAATTCTATTACTAGACAACATCAAACCAAAAACCTCTAGTATAGTTTATATTCAGAAGAGAAGTAACGAAATATTTGTTAAACAAATCATTGTTAAACATAACACCTGTTTAATTTAAATAGTTTCTCAATCATTACAGCTACTAGTTTTGGCCTCCCAATGAAAATGAAGTCGATATCGTAATCAGCTTTGTTGGAAAAACAACTACATCTTCAAAAATGTATGTAGGGAAAACCTCATTTAAATTAAGTGGTAAATATTAATCAATATTGAGAAATATCTGACGAATAATGCTGAAAGCTACTACATATTTATTATGATAGCATGTGTTCACCTATAGATTTATGATATTTTAATATTATTGACTTGCATAATAGTTACATTGTACTGAAATGAATTGAATTTTCAAAGCAGAACTTTCCATAAAAGTACAATAGTTTAGGTTGCCACACTTCATAAAATGATGCATTAAATTAGTGAAAAAGAATCCAATAAAACCACAATAAGCACAAATCTGCGGAGGAAAGAATGATGAGATGAAGGATCAAAGCGGATTTCGATAATCTGGAAAATCATCAATCTATACATATACCCGTCAGACTGTGTGATCCTCCGTAATTTTAATGAGAAACCACAGTCACTGTCTACGACATAATTTGAAATCAACTCAAAGTGTTTCATCATATGATAGAAGTTTTCTAACTTCTCTTCAACATTGGAAAGGTAAGAACTATATGATCTGTGGAGATGTGAATCTTTATGTGTTAAATTTTGACGCATTCGACTGAATAATAATGTTTATTTTCAAAATATCCTTATCATTTTGTCAATTAACAAATTCGCTTTGATCTGTTTCTCAAAAAACTTTATGGAATAATATAACCTTACAAAAGCTTATCCGCATAATTAAATTTTTATGCACTGAGGAGGCAGCCAGGAGTATTGGGCTTAGATTAAAGCTCGGTAAGTGATGAGTTCTGAAATCACCTACAGTATAGCTTTCGAATGTAGTATTATATATCAAAATGTAAAATACGAAGTATAAGAAGTCCTCTGTAGAAAATGCTTTGTAACCTTCGAATCATTTCGAAAAACTCACTAGGTTAGTACCGGCATGCTATCTTTAAAGTGATTTTTGAAAAGATTAACACTGTAAACAGATAATTATTATATGACCATCAATTAAAAAATCTTGACTTTCTCAATTTTTACTTTTTTAAAATACGGAGACCTGTTACGAGCTGTAATTAGGCTATGCTAAACTTTGAATCATTCATTACGGTCAAAATGCTGAGGTTAAATAACAGAATGATAAAGCAAGAGCAACATTTTCAGATGGCTCTTCGCCAGTCAACAGTAATTTCTACCATGAACTTCAGTATGGTTCAAGGATGAGTAAGAAATAGAGTGGCTCAAGAGAAATTCTATGATATCATTGTCTGAAACTGATTATCATTAATCAACTTTGATATCTTTCAGAATGTCAGCCAGTTATAATGTTTTAAATAATAGCTATGTACAAACTTAGATAAAAGCAATTTATTTTCCCTATTTTTTTTTCTCAAACATACATAATAGATTCCAACCTTTAGTCTAAAAAGAGGCAAAAATTAAAGCCTAAAATGTCTAACTGCAATAAACTCCTGAAATTCCTTTCAGTAACCAGGGCAGAAAGTCATGCAGACATTCATGAGTGTTGAATATTAAACTGTTCATCCACATCTTTACAAAGAAATAATCTCGTAAACGGCTTCTGCTTGACAGTAAATTCACTGATCAGAAGTTTGAAATAAGGACTAAACTGTTCTCTAGTCTGAAACTTCGGCTTACAAACATTTCCAGTTTATACTACGTAATGTCAACAGTAATCCAATGAATGAATACATATAATATGCAGTTTCATCTGTCTTTATTAATAATCACATCTGCACAAGCGCATGGGTATATCTCTTATAGTTTGAAATTTCCATACTCATGTATTTTTCATACTTTATTTAAGCAGAATGTGTATCAAAAAGATTCTTTCAATGTAGAAAGATCATTATGTGAAATAATTGGCACTTTATTTGAGAACAGTCGAATGTATCTTATCCAAAGGTAATGTAAATTATCCGTAAGTAAACAGAACAACTTTAGTCGTTCATCAAAAGATTTTATGAGCTTTCTTCAAAAATGAACGTAATTTACATTGCAAATCAAATACCTCCTTTAAGGTCATGAGTTTTCCATTTTGCTCTTCTACAAGCAGACATTCAATAAACATACTATGTTAAGTTCGTTTTACTCTCAGTGGGGACAAGGTGTTCAGATGTTGGATAGCCCTAGCGAACCCAGCGTACTTAAACTAATAAATTTAGAAGTGGTGGCTTGTATTAAAGCTCAGTAGAGTAATAAACCCTAAAGAAAACTTAAAACCATGATTACAAACAACTAGTCAATATGTATCCACCTAATGAAAGCAATAAATCCAGTGAATCACAGAAAAACAAACTTCACTATTACCCAAACAAAAAGATGTATTATTTAAGCGCTAAGTTAGAATGATTTTCATGTACTATTTAAGGCTATTAAGTGATGCATATAATTGAATTCACGTAGTACTACCAATAATCACATTCGATTCAATTGCCGATAACGTACACTTAAACTGTAGACCGATTACTTAACATCTATATAGGCGTAACCCATAGAGTGTACAATTCACGGTTTAACTGGTTATTCTTTAAAGCAACTTCTTCAAGTATGTCAGACGGAGTAAGAATAAATATTAATACACGTATAATGTATATAAACATTCAAGTTAGCAATCACCACCTCTAAGTTAAGAATATTTCTATCAGTAATATTTTGTTCTAAAGTACTTTCTTTAGTTATTATTAAAGATGACAACAAATTTATCATGGGTGAAGAATGTAGTGCATTGAATTAGCTGAAAATAAATAGAAACTAAAAGTTTAAAACTTTGTTTTCTGTTTATGTTCCAGGATGAAAATGTCAACTTCCCACGCGATGTTATTTCGTAAGCATACAGAAGCATAATAAAAAATTCCTTAATCCTAGAAGCAATGTTAAGTGATTTAAGTGACATCCAAACTGACGGTAAGAGATAATATCACTCGTTATTGTCTTCATTCTGCATCAATAACACCAATCTTTACTCCATTCTAAAAAATCAGCTACTCTAAATAAGTATTCAAGAGACTCAGCCGTTGACAAATTGCCACTTAATAATTTATTGGTTTCATTTATCTCAACAGTTAAACAAAGGTCACTGCAAGTCAAGTGTTTACAACACATTGGTGCACATGTAGTTGTCTGGGTATAAGCGTTCACCGAAATCTATTCATTATGGATTCCAAAAAAGTCATTACTGTGGACTCTGCATTGATATCACACACTGAGAAGTGAACTTTGGGTAAGAAGTCGTGGACTTATGTTTCGTGCTATATGGAATTCATTAGAAAGGTTTATTGGCTATCTTCAGGAAACTTATGTTTCTTTCAGGTGTAATGAATGCAATACCACAGCTCTAGCTTAGCTCTTATGACGAATCGGGATTTCCTCGATATTTTCGTGGGCAAGAGTTTGTCTTTTCTGTTTATATCCAGACTGAAACCCTGTTTGGAGGGGTTATTTCTATCTAATCATCGATAAAAATGGGCAAACATTGAGCAGACAAAAATCGAGGCAAAAAAGATAAACATTTGATTAGCAAACAAGGGGTAACAACAACTGAGAAACAAAGCTGATGGAAGAAAGAATAAGGAGCAGAAGCAAGTGAATTGTATTAAGGATAGGAGAGAAATAAAAATGGTCAAAAATGTTCATTCAATATTTTAAGCGGTAGAATAATAAACTACTAACTTCAAGCCACTAGCTCGAAGCCCTATGTTCCACTGGGAGCGTAAAGGAATAAAATACGATTACAGTAACAATCGAATAAACCATCGGATTTTTTAATGAGCTGCAGTGAAAATGAGAAGAAACAAACAAAACTATTACACAAATTATTCATGAAGAACATCAATGCACACGGGATACATCAATTTGTGCACTATCATATGATGAAGAG